AAAAAAAAAAAAAAAAAAAAAAAAAATTTTTTTTTGAGTCTCACTCTGTCAGCCAGGCTGGAGTGCAATGGTGTGACCACAGATCACTGCAATCTCTACCTCCCAGGCTCAAGTCATTCTCCCCCTTCAACCTCCCAAGTAGCTGGGACCACAGTGGTGCAACACCACACCCAGCTAATTTTTGGTACTTTGGTAGAGACAGGGTTTTGTCATGTTGCCCGGGCGGGCCTCGAACTCCTGAGCTCAAGGGATCCGCTCACCTCAACCTCCCAAAGTGCTGGGATTACATGTGTGAGCCACTGTTCCTAGCAAAAATCTATTTTCAAGTTTCTCAAATAACTAAGTCCGTAAAATACTGCAGAGGTGTTACCTTGAGGAGCCAGAACTGTCTTTCCCTAACAATTTATAAAGAAAAAAAATTATTATGGTGACATGCATGTCATGCTTCCATTTAAACAGGGTCTTAAAAATAGCCTGGGGGAGAAGAGAGAAAACTGGCTTTGGAGTGAGACAGACTTGGGTTTTGAAGCTCAGCTCTACTGCTGACTAGCAGTTTGACCTTCAAAAGTTCCTTCTCTCAAAGTCAGTTTCCTCATCGGTAAAAAGGGAGCCAGCTACCCTGTAAGCGACTCTGGGTAGGGACAGAATGTGTTTTACAGCATCCTGCAGTGCTTAATGTTTCCGTTAGTTTCTTTCATAAGGGAAGTAATCATTAGTAATAAGCTATTCCACAAGCTGGTATTCTACAACAAAACTAACCAATCAGTATCATACTCGATCAAAATGAGAAAGTAACTGACCCACAGCATCATAGACACCTTCACCCCTCACCACTTTATATGCTATTACATTCGCCTACAGGTACAGAGAGTGTCTTCCAAAGCACTGCTGAGCGTGGAACTAAAGCCGTCGCCTGTGACATGCTGTTCCTTCTGGTTTGATTCCTCTTCCCTTGAAGGGGGAAAACGTGCAAGCTAACACAAACCTGTCACAGCCCGCTGGCCACCACTTAGGTTATTCCACCACTTGTTAATCTAAAACAGATGGAAAATCGTATATCACCGGATGCGAGAGATTTCAGGCTACAGAAATGAAAAAACCAGAAGAAAATAAAATGGCTTGCACATAAAGGAGGACTTTCTTTTCTGTAAAAAATCACTGGTGACCACAGACATAAATAAATACGTGGTAGAGTGGAAAAAGGATGTGTTTTATCAGGCAGCCCACATTCTCCACACAGAACCACTGGATAGCTCTGACCACAGACAATTACTTCTAAACTTCAGTTTCCTGACACATGAAACGGGACAGTAATACCTACCTACCAGTGTTGTCACGAGGAGTGACAATAATGTCAAGCCCTTAGCACACTCACAGATACAGACAGGTACCCAGGAAGTGATTATTCATACCAAGGTCCTATGTTTTAAAATTCTGAGAATATTGTCTACTAAATTGTGCTTTTTAAAAGATCTGTTAATGGTACTGGAGTTTAGTAAAAAGAGGAGTGTCCTAATTTTTCAGGGTTACATGTTGAAAATTTTATGGATGAAATATGTCTAGAATTTGCTTTACCATAATACAAGGGTGGAAACGGAAGGGAAAAAAGGGAAATAGATGAAAACCAAAATTGGCCCTGTGTTGGTAAACACTGAAGCCGGACGATAATGATTCATCACGCTATTCTCTTCACTTTTGTGTCCGCTTGAAATTTTCTACGATTCAAGTTTTAAAATAAAAAATATATTCTAACTATGAAATCAAACCACACTTTATTAAAAATAAAAATCCAAGGTAAAAGAAATTGCAGATTAGTATGCATGATTCCACTTTTAAAAAAAAAAAAAAAAAAAAAGAGACAGGGCCCCCCTACGTTGCCAAGGCTGGTCTTGAGCTCCTAAGCCAAAGTAATCCTCCCACCTTGGCCTCTCAAAGTGCTGGGATTACAGGTGTGGGCCACTGCACCCCGCAGATTCCATTTCTATGATTACAATTACACTGTGTATGAGCTCCCAGATCTTACTTCATACAGAGTGGTACAAAAGGGGTTCCCAAGACTTTCACGTTTCCATGTTAAATATTGTGTCAATCTTCTTTAACGGTCATAGGTTTTATACATTAAACCTTTCATTAGTTTAATTCCATTATAAACAAATTAATCTTTAAAGGAAGATTACGTATACTGTTTGTGTCATTTTCACCACTCTCAAGAACCATCTGGGTACATTTGGATATCAAAACTTCATGTGCAGACATGTGCTGGAAACCTCTAACTTTCTTTTTTTTTTTTTTTTAAACGTAGTTTCCCTCTTGTTACCCAGGCTGGAGTGCAACGGCGCGATCTCGGCTCACCGCAGCCTCCGCCTCCTGGGTTCAGGCAATTCTCCTGCCTCAGCCTCCTGAGTAGCTGGGATTACAGGCACGTGCCACCATACCCAGCTGATTTTTTGTATTTTTAGTAGAGACGGGGTTTCACCATGTTGACCAGGATGGTCTCGATCTCTTGACCTTGTGATCCACCCGCCTCGGCCTCCCAAAGTGCTGGGATTACAGGTGTGAGCCACCGCGCCCGGCCCAACCTCTAACTTTCTAAGAGTTGCAGGATAATGTGCTAGGTCAGTTTTACTATCTTCTCAAATACATTGTACTGAATAAAACTCCACAGTTATTGTCATTTTCGTCTGCAAATATTATCCACCGTTCTTCTGGCATAAAGCCTCTCTAACACAGACAGGGCTCACGCTTCCTGAATGTGCCCATGCGCAAACAAGGAGGAGTGAATTCCTTTCCCTACTTAGAGAAAACTCAAACCATCATTAGTAAAAAGAAAACGCAAGGCTTCCTTCCCAGGCTCTTGCTGGCCAGGACCACATTGCTCCCAGGAAGGGGAAATGTAAAGATATCAACCCACTCTCCAGATTGGAAGGGCAATTGTGTCATAAAAACCAAAAGTGCTCAGAACTAAATGGGCCAGAAACTACATATTAACTACAGTCTCGGTGTTCAATATGTATTGGTAAGTAAAAGAAAGATTTATATAAAAAAAAAAGAAAAAGAAAAAAAGAAATATTTCTATGTTTTATCTAAAAGCGAACATGGTTAACAAATCAGTTAAGAAATAAGAGGGCCATCAACTCACACATAAAGTAAATGAAAAGCTCTAAAAGCTCCGTATTTCTTATTTTATTTTTATATTTCATCTTGAGCCCAGAAACACTCAACAGCAGGTATTTACCACAGGGATGTAAATATCACGTCACTGACAAACATTTAAAACTCCTCTTGGGGAGAGGCACGGTGGCTCATGCTTGTAGAATTCCAGCATTTTGGGAGGTCAAGGTGAAAAGATCACTTGAGGCCAGGAGTCTGAGACCAGCCTGGGCAACAAAGTGAGACTCCTGTCTCCACAGAATGAAATAATTGGCCCAGTATGGTGGTGCATGGCTGCAGTCCCGGCTACTCAGGAGACTGAGGCGGGTGGACTGCCCAAGCCCAGGAGACTGAGGCGGGTGGACTGCCCAAGCCCAGGAGTTTGAGGCCTCAGTGAGCTATGATTACATTACTGCACGGAAGCCTAGGTGACAGAGTGAGACCCTGTCTCTTAAAAAAAAAAAAAAAATCACTTGGTAACTCTCCCCCTGAGGCATGTGTATTTTGAAAAATTCTCTGCAGTTCAAATATGTACCCTAAAGCCGGGGTTCTCCATGCCCCGGCTGCTGACCAGTAGTGGTCCATGGCCTGTTAGGAACCGGGCCACAGAGAGGGGAGAAAACTACCAGGAGCACTCTGGCTCCTGTCAGATCAGCAGCTACATTCAATTCTCATAGGAACGCAAACCCTACTGTGAGCTGCACATGCGAGGGATCTAGGCTGCACGCTCCTTATGAGAAGCTAGTGCCTGATGATCTGAGGTGGAACAGTTTCATCCCAAAACCATCTGCCCGACTGCAACCCTAATCTGTGGAAAAATTGTCTTGCATGAAACCAGTCCCTGGTGCCAAGAAGCTTGGGGACTGCTGCTCTAAAGTAATTCAGCAAGGTGATCCAAGTGTAACAGTGCTCTTTAAGCTTTAGTAGAGCTGAGACATCCTCCACACAGAAACATTAACTACTATTAACATTAATTTTTTTTTTTTGAGGCAGTGTCACTCTGTCACCCAGGCTGGAGTGCAGTGGTGTGATCTTGGCTCACTGCAACCTCTGCCTCCTGGGTTCAAGCAATTCTCCTGCCTCAGCCTCCTGAGTAGCTGGAATTATAGGCACGTGCCACCACACCCAGCTAATTTTTGTATTTTTAGTAGAGACAGGGTTTCATCATGTTGGCCAGACTGGTCTCCAACTCCTGACCGCAGGTGATCTACCCACCTCAGCCTCCCAAAGTGCTGGGATTACAGGCATGACCCACGACACTGGCCAATTTTTTTTTTTTTTTGTTTTTGTTTTTGTTTTGGAGACAAAGTCTCGCTCTGTCAACCCAGGTTGGAGTGCAGTGGCACAATCTCATCTTACTGCAGCCTCCACCTCTTGGTTTCAGGCGATTGTCCTGCCTCAGCTTCCAGAGTAGCTGGGGCTACAGCTACTATGTGCAACACCACACCCAGCTGATTTTTGTATTTTTAGTAAAGATGGGATTTCACTGCGTTGGCCAGGCTGCTCTCGAGCTCCTGACCGCACCACAACCTCCTGAAGCGCTGGGACTACAGACTTGAGCAACTGCGCCTGGCTGACATTAACATTTTTAACAACCATCTGAGGTGATCTTGGATGCACGTGGGTTAGAGGGCCAGAATTCTTGGGTCACTGTCAAATACAACACCAGACATATAAAACAGTAATACATACTTACTGTGAAGAATATTAGTGCACCGACTTGACATCTATTAATCTGATGTTGCCATTAACTAAAAGCACTTCATAAATAACCAGACTTCAAAACTTGGGATTGCCAGTTGAGTAACTCCAGTAAACTATAGTGTATTTCAAAATAGCTAGTGAAGAATAATTCGAATGTACCTAGCATAAAGATAAATGTTTAAGGTGATATTCCAATTACTCAGATTTAATTACTACACATTATGTGTACGCATCATGTACACTGAAAATGTGCATCTATTATGTATCAGTTTTTTAAAATCGTGATTAGCTAGAACAAAGAAAGCGGTGTTTATCTTCACCTCCTTTCTGAAATCTCCTTCTTCTGGTCTTATGCTAGCCAACCAATCAGCTTTTATACCATCAAAATAACTCTGGACCCTGGATTTCAGTGATTCATATTACCAAATAGCAGCTGATTCAAATGCACAGCCTGTAAACTATATAAAATTAGAAATATTAAAAAATTTAAAAGGGAAATAGATCTATACATATTTCCAAGGGCAATACTTCATTTTCATTGCTTTTGATAAACCAACAGAAGGAAAACCTGGCACAGTGAAATCTAATAAGTGAAAAGGATTTTTTTTTTTTTTTTTTTGAGACGGAGTTTTGCTCGTCTTCCAGGCTGGAGTGCAGTGGTGCAATCTCGGTGCACTGCAACCTCCGCCTCCCGGGTTCAAGCAATTCTCCTGCCTCAGCCTCGAAGTAGCTGGGATTACAGGTGCGCACCACCACGGCTAGCTAAGTTTGTGTTTTTAGTAGAGATGGGGTTTTGCCACTTTGGCCAGGTTGGTCTCAAACTCCTGAACTCAGGTGAGCCACCTGCCTCGGCCTCCCAAAGTGCTGGGATTACAGGCATGAGCCATCATGCCCCACCCGAAAGGACATTTTATTGTTTCCCATTTTATTAACTTCACAGTACGCTGGGGCCTGTTTCCAGCTATAAATCCTCAAATAAAACTGAAAACACCAACTTAGCACCACTTGAAATGCTGTACCAAATGAGGCCCATAAGTTTATTCTCTAAGGCTTACATAGTGAGCCAGATTCTAAAAGCAAGTCTGAAATTCAGACTCTATAATCAGAACTCATGAGCCCAGCTCCTCTTGATCCCCCTCCACCTGTCCTTACTTTAACGGAGCCCAAATGGGACAAAGTATTTTAACACTGCATTTGTAGCAAGGTGGGTAACTCCTAGCCAAATGCGCTCTTACCCCAGCAGTAAAAAAATAATGGTTTTATGAGAGTCCTTATAGGACAGAGAGAAGGATAAAGGGCTGTTTCTTCCACGGGAGGAATCAAAGCACTTCTCTTATATGCTTCACCACTTGTCCCTGTGTCTAATCTTCGAGGTTCAACCTTCCCGGGTGCCTTTCTGAATCCGCGTTTTTGCTGAATAAAGAAGTTAAACCTATGGGGCAAAAATAGCTTAGAAACACAGTGGCGTCTCACAAACAGCACCTTCTATGACCCTCCACTTGGCCTGCCATCACCACATCTCGGCCTCTTCTCACTCTACAGTCCAGAAACAGCCAAGACTCCCACTCTCGGGATTCAAAGTCACAAAATCCAACCTTTCTGGAAAAGGTGACACACAAACTACCGCAACTTCAGAGGGTACTGCTTTGTGCTATTACTTTGCATCAGTCAACAGATAATTTGTATCCATCCTCCACACAGAAGAAATGAGAAAACCTGGTAAAAAGCTAGAGAACTCTAAATTATTATTATTTTTTTTGAGACAAGGTCTCCCTCCGTCACCCAGGCTGGGATACGATCGCTCCATCCATCTCCCAGTGGTACGATCACGGCTCACTGCAGCCTCCACGTCTCGGTCTCAAGCAATCCTCCTGCCTCAGCCTCCCAAGCAGCTGGGACTACAAGCTTGAGCTACCACACTCTGTTAGAATTTATGTACCTTTTGTAGAGATGGGGTTCTGCCATGTTGCCCAACCTGGTCTCAAACTCTTGGGCTCAAGCAACCCTCCTGCCATGGCCTCCCAAA